CATTTTAGTATGTTGATTCAACACAAATTGTGTAAAAAAAATCATCAACACATATTTTTGTGTTAAATTTGACGAAAAATTTTTTACTATGTATAAAGGCTTATAAAATTTAATTTGAGACCAAGATATAATTTTCATCAAATTTTATGAAATTTCATGAGAAAATATTTTCATAGAAACAAATTTTTTTCACATCGTCTTGTAAGCGGGAATTTGACGAGATTTTTTTTTAATTAAAATTTTTTTTTGGGATTATGATTATTAATCTAATTAATTCTCCATAATCCATTTTTAAAAAATTGATGTTCTAGTCAATCGAAATAATTAAAAAAATCAATCAATAATCATCAGCTATTTGCAAGTTAGATATTCATTCAAATTTCCATTTTAAATTAAGGTTCAAGTGTATAAATCAGAAGAATTAGCAATAATTTGAAGAGAAAATCTCAATGGATTTCTAATAATTTTATAATTTGAGTGCGATTATAAATAACATCAGTTGATTGTAGCAGCAGAGAGAATGACGTGAATAAAAAAACAAAAATTTGATACGAAAAAAAAATTAGCCGTAGCTTAAACGAGCGAAACCACGCACAAACAAGATTATATTCCCATCAAGTAGATGATATCCAGCATGGAGAAATTAATCGCTCAGAAATTACTCGAGCCAGTCAAGGATAAAATAATGGATTGGCACGTTCCCGAGAATTGATTTAATTTTTCTACTTTCACTAATTTATTATTTTTTATACACTTACCGAATCGATTCGTTAATTAATTAATTAACTGCTATTCTAATAAGTCAAAAAAGTATGTTGGCTGATAGCTTCTAACCAAATATCTCGATGAATAATGTATGTCAATAAAAAGTTGTAGAATTCGTATAAAAAAAAAAAAAAACAAAGTAAAATAGTCATTTCAACCACGTTACCATTCGATTACAGTCACCACAAACTCATAGCTTTAATAGCTAATTGGTTTAACTTGTTTTCTCGGATGAAACTTTTTTTTAATACGCCTCTCAAATTTTTAAACTTGATTTTTCTCTACTAGTTACTTTTATTTCCTTTTATATCTAATACTTCTATCTCTGAGTATATAATACAATATTTATCATTATAATTATATTTATTATTGCTATTTTTTAATTTCTCCCGACCATTTATCCGTTCAATATCTATTTTCAGTGGATGAATCCGGTCTGATAAATCTGTTTCGAGTGATCATAAAAAAAGTACTACTGAATTGCGAGTTTTTTGGCCTTGCTCTTATACGAAAACGAAAAAAAAAAAAAAAAAAAACATAGTATAGTATAATCTGAGAGCATCTAACAAGCCAGTAGATCCTGTAAATTCCGCGTGTGGCTCCCACCGCATAATCAAATTATTCCTAGAATTCACTTTACCACGAAAAGAAACATGTGCGCTAGTATCTGATGACGTCATCCACCCTCAAAGTCGCCGATAAGTCTCTTTCATTTTTTCTTATATTACTTATCTTCTTTCTCTCTTTATTATTTCTTACTCAGTTCTTTTATGAGACATTTACATTTAAGAGTGAAGAAACAAAAATCAAACAAAAACTATAGATTGCATTAATCAATCATTTCGGCTTTATTTAATCGATCAAGAATAAAAACAAAACTAAAAAAACTGTCGAGTGTCCTTCGGAAATGATTTATCAGAGCCGCTATTTTTATTTTTATTTTTTTGCTTTAATTTTTTGCTCCAATGCGACTTTTTAAACGACTCCAATCTACTATCTTATACCTACAAAGCTTATATAGTTAAGCGGTTATTTCGTTCTCTTTGGTCTTGATACAAGTCTTCCTTTGTTCGTAAGCATTATCTCTTATAGTCCGCGGGACACTTCATTATCGCATTTCTCACACCGTCATCGTATAAACGCGTTAATCGATCGAGACGAAAAAAGGATAAGTGAGATTAAAAAAATTTGCGAAATAGATGGAAGTGGCGATGAGCGAGGTAAGAGACGAGTAGAGCTAAAATAGGAAGAAAGAAGAAATGAGAAGTCAAATAAGCAGAATGAGAAAACGATGATAAAGAAGATGATGATGATGAAGAAAGAAGCATTGCAGTGTATGGTAGTGCAACATCCAAATCGTCGGCGGCTGAAATGACCATGAACCATTTTCGCCCTTAGAAGAACAAGACTTGAGAGCAGTGTACAACAACATAGACTAAAAGAAATAAAATGAGATTTGGTGAGCTAAACAAACTGGCGATGCCGCACACGAGAGCGAGGAAGCTAACTTGAAAAAGCCAATATATAATATATAAATGTAGATGGTATATATGTATGAAGAAGAGAGAAGAAAGAGAAGATAAAAAGAAGCAACTAAAACTCTTTTAGTTATAAGCCAAAACTCCGCGATGAGTATACGCCAGTCTGGACTATCCGCTGCTTTATTAAAGGGACAAAATAAAAGTAAATCGATTAGATATATTTCTCAGTCCCACGAACGATTTATTAGTTGAGCTAATTAATAGACGGCAGTTCAAATATTTTATTTCATTACGATCGATTTTAATAGAACGCTTTATTGACTCGATATTTATTTCATGGACAATAAATATCAACTGGTTTTTATATTTTTAAGTATTGTAAAAAATTTTTTTAGTGGAATTAATATTGCAGATATGTTTTGCTGAATCGATTATGTAAGTTAATTAACAACAATCACCGTTAACTCAAAAGTTTAATTTATTATTGAAAGTAAATTTTTTTTTTTCATTAAGGGGGAAAGCCACTGTGAGGATCGAAAAAATAGATGATTTTCGGGAATTTTTTCGACTGGGATAATAAAGGAATTTGGGGATCGAGTTTTTTTGTTTTATAAAGTATACATTAAATATTATTCTCCTAAATTTTTATCAAAAAATGTCATGTTGTTACAAAGTTATTAGCATTTTTGTGGAGCACCAAAAAAATTTCTCCTTCCATGATGCGATCTCTAACTCAAAAACAGATTATCTAAACCAAAAAAACGAAAGAGCGTTGTAATCTGCATGCATGTGGTTATCGTTGCACGTAGGGGATTTTGAAAATTTGGATTTTAAAAAAAATGGCGACATAAAAATTTTTTTCGTCTTTTTTTGGATTCAAACAGCCCTAAAAAATTTTAAAAATCAAAATTTCCAAAATCCCCTACGTGCAACTATAGCTACTGAATAGACGAATACAGAGAAAAAAAAGTTGCAAATCGGTTCATATTTATGCAAATTACAGTTCTCATCAGCTTAAAAAAAGTAGTTTCGAGAAAAACGCGTTTTCGTCGGAGTGCCGCACGTGTAAAGTCATTTGACGCGCTGTCACAAAAATGACTATAACTCGGAAAATATTCGGAATTTTGATACCAAACTTTAGATACAATATATATTTTTGAATCTATAAACTTGGATTTAATAAAAAAAAAAGAATTTTTTTTTTTTAAATTTCACAGTGGCTATCCCCCTTAAATCTAAAGTATATTTTAGAAAAATTTGTAATTAATATAAATTTTGATAATTCATGTTTCTATTTTTCACCAAATGAATCAAGTTTATTAAAAAACTTTTATAAATTCAAATATATGATTGTAAGTTTACATGAAATTTATGAATATATATTTCAACTAGATCGTCAAGATAACGTGTTGGTTACAAAACTGAAGAAGAAAAAAATTAGGCCTGATTTTCAAATTCAGACATTTTAAACAGTAATCACTCAAAATTTTTACTTAAATGAAAATTTTCAAGTTTTATGCCAAAAAAATTCATCAAACTTTTATATGTTAAGAAAATTGTTGAGAATGTGAAAAGGGATTAGCATCTGAAATTTACTGCATATTCTTCAATATTACAATAAGTATTGTGTAAGATAAACAAATCATGAATAACTTTCATATCTTTCGAATCGATTGATTAAGATGTTTATATATGAAATAACAAATTTACAATTTATAATGTTCTTTTTTTTCAGTTTATACACTTTTATATCACGTGTATACTATCATTTTTCAACAATACAGCTCTATGACTTCATTTATTATTTAAATATATTTTTTCTTAACTTAAATTTACTCTCATCAATTAAGATCTAATTTTTATCAATAACTCTCATGTATAAAAAAAAATGCGCATACATCAATTGGCTCTATTCTCAAATTTTTTGAAAAATTGTTGACCTATCAAATTTAAACTTAACTAGAAATTTGAATAGCGCGCTACGCGCGCGCCTAAATTTTAACCAATAATAAATCGTGGCCCGTTTTTTTTTAAGTTTCGACCTTTGACTAACTTCAAGACTATCATGTATTTTAATTTAGAGGATATTTGAAATAAAATCTATTTATACTTATGAATAATAATCATATTTCTTGTTTCTCAAAGTTGTTTCTCACAACTTTTTATTAGAAAATTTAACGTCACCTGTTGGAAATACATTTAACTATCTTTATTAAAAAAAACTACTAAAAGGTACAAGGCTTTGGTTTAAACCAATATAGCCAAACACAACTATTTTTTTTTTTTTTTTTTTTTATTAGAAAAATAAGGTACAAGGCGTTGGTGTAAACTAATATAGCCAACTTTACAAACTTATATTATATACTGTACATTTTCACCGCTCTTACATTTAAAATATAAAATTATTAAATATATAGAATGATACATGTATAGGTTAATAGGGCTTATGCCATATCACAGTTGAGTAATGATCCCATCTTAGTAATAAAAATTCATAAGGTGTACATTTAAAAAAAAAAAAAAAAAAAAAAAACATTAATACATTGCACAAATAAAGTATATAAAAATTATAGCGATGGTTATTAAGATATTTTGTAATTATCAGTGTGCTTATTTTGTTCATTTATAATATATTCATCTTAACCAACCACAAGTTTGCTTATTAAAGACAAATAGACTTGGAAATAGCTATATACAGAATGACACTCATTTTTCTTTAGAGTTATTGAATAAAAATTAAAAAAAAAAAACATATTAAATAAATTTCTTAATAGATGATAAAAATGTACTTAGGCAATTAATAATTCCCTGACTCAAGCTGCTTAAAAGAGATTCAACATTGTAAGGGCCTTGACCTATATTAATACTTAATGCTTTAATAAAACCAGCTCTTTGAGATTCGTATAGGGGACACTGAAATAGAATGTGGTTCGGGGTTTCTTCTGGTGCTCCACAGGCACAAGCAGGCGACTGTACAATCTTATATTTGGCTAAGCAGGAATTAAGCGAGTGATGACCACTTCGTAGTCTGTTAATGGAGACCACTGAGCGTCTATTTAGTTTAAACTTACTGAACCAGGGCTTGGAGTTATTAGTATAGTAGAAATTTCTGTAGTAATTTCCCTTATCTGTATTAGTAAACATAAACCATTTGTGAAACTCCGACCACATAAGGTCTTTTCCCATCTTTTTGAAGTCACTCGCGGGGAGATGAAGATTGGTGTCTTTCCCTGAGTAAATGGCCTTTTTATCAACCCTGTCTGCTGCCTCGTTACCACTAATGTCGCAGTGCGCGGGAATCCAGAAGAGTTTGATTCTTTTACCCCTCAAGCTCAATTTTCTTGAAAGTTCTTTAATTACAAGTATCAAGTACGATTTCTTGCCCAAGGCCTTGTCTGACACTAGTGCCTGTAAAACGCTTTTAGAGTCTGAAAAAATGGCAAAGCATCTAAACGGGGATTCCTCAATTAATTTAAGAGATTCATAAATAGCCAACGCTTCGAGAGTGAAGATTGATGCGTGTTTGGGAGCTCTAAACTCTATTTCTATCGATTCTAATGGCAGAACCACCGCGAAGCCTCCGAATGGAGCGTTTTCCGTTTTGGACCCATCCGTGAAAATACATGTCCAGCCACCTAAATACTCCTCGAAGATGTCACAGAAGAGCTCCTGACACCTCATGGAACTACTAATCTCTTCGCCCTCCGCGAAGGAAACTTGTGGATGATACCAAATTGCCTCAAACCCGACACTGTAACATAAGGGACTACTTGACGACCTGATGAGGTGCCTATGTAGTTCAATTGCTCGGAAACATTCAACTAAGTTCACCGGGCCATCTCTATTGATTATTGTGGGGTTATCCTCCAAGTTCATTATTTCTTGAAGGATTTGTAAAATCCTGTGATCTTCTCTGGAAGAGGCTCTAGCCAAGAAGTTGAACGTCAAGTACCGGAATCTTATATTGAGGGGAGGTTCCTTGGCCTCAGCTAAGATTACATTACATGGGGTGGATGAAGAATAGCCTAACGCTGCCCTGAGGCTTCTGAATTGAATCCTGTCCAACTTAGCTTTCTCGGTTTTAGTCAAATTAAACAACACTAGTCCACCATACTCCAGTCTGGAATGAATTAAAGCTCTATAAACCCTAATAAGAAGCATGGGGTCTGCTCCCCACCAAGTACGCCTTAAACAGTTAATTGTCTTCAAGGCATTCCGGCATTTTTTATCAACGTTTTCTATGTGGTGTTTCCAGCTTAAATGGGCTTGAAGATCCATGCCAAGAAACCGAACTACCTCCGAGTTACTGATTGGTGATCCCTTAACAACAATATTCCACCTGAGAGGCTCTGTCCTTCTATTATTCTTTCTGTTGAAGATACAAAATTGAGTTTTTCTGACAGATAAGTCCAACCCCAGATCATTCAAATAGTAGCAAACATTATCCATAGCCTCCTCGACACACTCTATAACGGTTTTGGTATTTTGATGATTAGAATAAATACATGCGTCATCGGCATATTGCAAAGTGTTACACCCAAAGACACCATTTATCCTTTCTTCTAATTCTATTACATATAAAGCATATAGTATTGAGCTGAGGACACTTCCCTGAGGTAAACCTCTAAAAACTTTATAAGATTCATCTATTTCGCCAAATTTAAAATGCAAACTTCTCTCTGAAACGAGATTATATATAAATGATAGCGTGTTAGATGGGAAACCCAACCTCTTAAGCTTGGACAGTAGCACGTCAGGTAGGACATTGTCGTAGGCACCTTTGATATCTAAAAAAAGGACGGCAATACATTCATTTGACTTAAAAGCTTTGATAATATCCGCACATAGAATAGACAGCTTATCTGCACAGGATCTTCCTTTTCTAAAACCATTCTGAGAGCTAGGAAGGGCATTCTTATGTTCGAGTCACCAACTGATACGATTATTCAATATTTTTTCCATGATCTTAGCCAGACAGGGAGCAAGAGAGATCGGACGGAACTTATTTTTTTCACCTTTGGGAATAAAGAAAATGGCATATTGATGCCATTCTTGAGGAAATTCTTTTGACTCAAAGATTTGATTAAATAAATCAAGAAGGAGCACCTGAGCTTCATCCGGCAGATGTACAATCATCTTGTAGTCTATACCATCTAATTCTGGGCTAGATGACAGTTTTAGCTCGGACAGCGCGAACTGTAGTTCATCGCGTATGAAAGCTAAGTCGAGGAAAGGATCTGCAGTATCATAATTGAGACAAGGTCTGTGATTTGGTACCCAAGGCGGACAGAGTTCTTCGATCATAACCTTCACTGCACTAATTTTATTCTTATCATACTCGTTGGCATTCTCTCTATAATTCCATCTGTTTTGGAAACCCTTAATAGTGTTCCAAAGGAACTTAGGATTGGTATTTTTAGACAGGCTAGCACAAAAGTTCTTGAAACTTTCTTTCTTGATCCGTCTCAAACCAACCAGAGCTTCAGCCTGGGCTTTTTTGTACGCGATGAAGTTGTCACACGATCTATTAGCTTTAAACTTAAGTAATGCCGCCTTACGCAACCTTACTAACCTATCGCATTCCCCATTCCACCATGCTGACGGAGGAGCTTTGGATTTAGACTTAGACTGGTGGGGTTTTCCATCAAGTTTTCTAGTGGCAGAGGGACAAGCTTGCTGAATACTACTCGCCAAAGTGGCAGTAAAGGAAGAGTACTTTGTTTGGATGTCATTCTCTGAAGACATTAACTCAACCAGGTCAGGAATTTTCTCACTTATGCAAGACTTATATATTGACCAATCTACCGCCGAATTATATAACCTGTTAGATTTTCTGCGTTCACAACCGGACTGGACTCGGCCGTCACATCTAATAAAAATAGGAATGTGATCACTTCCCCAATAATCCGAACCTATTTTCCACTCGAAAAGCAAAGCTGAGTTATAGTCGACAAACGTTAAATCAACCGTAGATTCAGCACCTGATGAGGAACTTAAGAAAGTAGGAGAACCATCGTTCAGACAAGCGACATCTTTGATATCCAAAGCTTCCACAAGGGACCTCTCTTCCGCACAGTCAGACCGATGCCCCCACAGTGAGTGATGGGCATTAAAATCTCCCCCAATTAGATAACTATCGGAGAATTGATCAAAAAATAGAGCCCAGTCATCAGCCTTAACAGACGACGCAGTGCCTGGGGGTCTATAGCAGGAAACTACAGTAAAAGGTTTCCCATTTAAGTTAAGTCTAATACAACATGTCTCAATCTTACCATTGCAATCAAACAAATCCCGAACCACAGAGTATCTCAAAGTACTTCTTACCATAATCATTACACCTCCTTCATTACCACGAGCACGGTCACTCCTTACAACGTCAAACCCCTTAGCATATATGATATCCTTCTTCTTGAGCCAGGTCTCTGAAATAAGAAAAATATCAACATTTCTAGAATTATGTACAAGTTCATTTAATTTAGGTTTAATACTGCGGGCGTTCCATTGAACTATACTTAGCGAGTGAGCTTGTCTACAGTCCTTATTTCGTGCGTCCATGATTCTTGAGGTGAATCTCCACCGCCTTCCTCAAATGTTTGATTAGTAACTCGACATCTGTTGACATCATAAATGCCCGTAATAGCTCTTCAAGGGCTTCCCCAATACGTGCAGCTCCACCGGTTTCCTTGCCATCTGTCTCCGAACCCTTCAGGTCCTCCAGGGGAGGTTTTGAATTTGGTCGACTCCAAGTAGAAGTGGCGGCCGCAATTGTCGTGTCCAGTTTCTTTTGTCCGCAGACTAGGAAAGTCTTCCTGGGTGCCGCGAAAGTGGGAGTTTTTCTGCTGGAGTTGTAAGTCCTTATTGGGATTTACCAGTCTTTTTGCCTCAGGAAACGACAGATTGTCGCGAGTCATAATCTTCTTAATCTCCATCTCAGCATTTCTGTTCGGGCATTTATTGTCCAGAGTGTGGTGATCTCCACCACAATTGACGCATTTCTTACCATTATGGCACTGATCATGGCCCAAACATTCAATTTGACTACATGACAAACATACTTTTTGGCCCTTACATTTATCCTTGATGTGACCAAATTTACCACAGTTGAAACAGATTCTTACTGGTGGAATATAATCGCTGACTGGAAGTAAAACTCCCCATAGTCTGATTTGCCTGGGTAATACTGATGAGCTGAAGGTGATACAAACTGTTGAAGATTCGATCCACTTATGCTTGTCTGCTGAGGGCTTGTTGTTTTTCTTTTTTAATCGATGAATATCAGAGACCACGGTGTTTTTGTTCTCCTCTTAGATACACTTTTTTAATTCTTCTAAACTCACGTCGACAGGGATGTCTCTGACCACTCCTTTCTTAAATCGCAGGTACATTGGCACGAATGCCTCCAGGCCGTTCTTCTCCAAGTTAAGGTTGGATAAGCAGTCATTGGCAGCTTCTCTTAAAATAAATGTTAGGCGCCATGTATTCCTAGAACTCTCAGCAATGTTGTCGAACCGAATATTGTTATTCGCTAATTTACGGGCTAATTCAATGGCTTTAATGGGTTTAGACTTGACTAGCTCACCTGTGGTTTTGATGTACACCACGAAGGGGCCTCTTTCCTGTCGGCTGTATTTAAAACGGTCTCTAATTTTATCACCCTTGTCGTCCATCCTCATGTTATTATGTACATTCCTCAAGAAGTCATTCTTATCACTATTATTAACCTCAAGTGACGTGTTATCATTCATAACTACATCCTCTAGTTCTTGTTCGTCGATGTTGTCTACGATACGGTCATCGCTGTCAGCTTTGCGTTTTTTGCTATCTGGCTCAGATATTTTGCCGGCGTCACTGGTGCGGGTTACTCCCACATGCATCTTAGTACCTGAGAACTGAGCGAAATTACACTTGATCGAACCAGCTTTTTTCCCTTTGACGTACTCTTTCATTAAATTATCCAAATTCGCGAGGTCAGTACGTGGGAGGCATTTGCCTCCCTGGCTGTTAACCGCGTGGTTAGACGCCAAATTGAGGTTAGGAACGACTATCGTAGTAGAATTAGTCTTGTAACCACGGTTACGTGTCAGATTTCCTACCTGGATGACCAGGATCTAAGTTTCAAAATATCTCTGCTTGTGGTGATAATTAAAGGTGACTAATATATTAAATCAGATTAACAAAAGTAAATTCACACTTTCCCTCATTTTTCTTGACTCCAAAAGCCCAACTCCACACTTAACTATATTGAATAGCTACAGAAGGCACCATCTATTAACAGTCTGTTTAATTAGCATGACAGCATTTGGATTGCTACATTTTATGCAAAAGTGTAATCTGTTATGCTAATCAATCAAATGAAATGGACACATTTCTTAGAAATATGATATAAATTGTTGTTTACAATTCAACGTAATAGTATATTATGTAACTGCGAGGATGAGGCTTTTGGCAACGAGCGATGTGAGTGCGCCAACACACGAGTGCTGAAAGCTTTATACGTCCACTCAAATCATACATAAATAAATGTAATTAAAATAACATTTCGCACAATATCGTGATCAAAAAACGAATGGTCATATTATAATTACTTTTTTACTTTTTATATTATATATAAATGAAATAATTGAAATATTCAAGAACTTAGGTATTAAATGTCGTTTGTTTGCCGATGACATGATGTTGTATGTTGCTCATAACAATATTAAATACATTCAAAATAAACTAAATACTGCGTTAAATATGTTAACTAATTGGTTAAATAAAAATCAACTAAAAATAAATATAAAAAAAACAGTATATATGGTCATTCACGACAAAAGAAACAAAATCGATCTTAAAGCATGTAATGTAGTAATCAATGGAGACAATATACAATATGTAGACAAAACCAAATATCTAGGTGTCATTATTGATCATCATTTAAATTTCAAAGACAATGCAACTTACGTTGCTAATAAAATAGCGAAAAAAGTCAACTTACTATCTAGACTCCGGAATACAGTTAGTAATTTTGCGAAAACTATTATCTATAAATCGATAATAGCACCGCATTTTGAATACTGTAGTACTGTGATGCTTAATTATGATCAAGAAAAAATTAACAAACTACAAAAACTCCAAAATCGTGCTATGAGAGCAATTTTGAATGTAAATAGATATACAAACATTAATCTGATGCTTGACACACTTGGTTGGTTGTCAGTAAAACAAAAGATATATTACAACTGTTGTCTATTTGTATTCAAGATGCTCCATAATATTTCACCTAATTATTTAAATGAACAAATAGAATTAATAAGCAATAATCATAATTATAATACGCGTAATAATAGTTTACTTTTAATTAAGCATACACGAACAATGACGGCAGAAAAATCTATAGTATATCGAGGATTTGTATGGTTTAATGAACTACCGAAAATAATAAAAGAACAGAAATCAATTAATGTATTTAAGAGATTATTGAAAAATCAAGCTAAAACAATGTATTTATAAAAAACATATCCTTAAACCTTTGTACCAAAGAAACAGAGAATTATAATTGTAAAGAATGTAGCAAATGCTAAATAAACAACTTATTATTATTATTATTATTATTATTATTATTATTATTATTATTATTATTATTATGATGAAATGAGTAAATGTATATATTTATAAATGGAAGATATTTTATTTTTAACAGTCATAATAAACATCAGTATTATTTCCACATTATAATATGACCATTCATTATTTGATCACGATACTGTCTAAAATATTCGCACAGGTCGGCTAGTCTTACATTAATTTAGTAAAAGTAATTCGAGCATTTAATGTTTATATTTATGCCAATTAAAAAAGTGCTACAATCATATAAATTAAATCGAATGATACAATTATCACTTTTTACGTATATATGTATACTGAAGATTAATTAAACACTGTACATGTAATATGTTTCACTTGCATAGCATATCATTATACATACAGAAACTGCACTTACGATAAACATATTAACGTAAAATTAATTATAATGTGTATCATAAACTCGTTTAAAGTAAATTACATAAAGTTGTATTAATCTATATTCGAATTATCTTTAGTAACAGGTTTTAGACTAATATCTCGAGACGTTAATTGAACACCGTTGCAATTGAGTGTAAAGTCCAAGGCAACGTTAATACCGGCACAACAGTTAGTATCCCTGTAATATTGGTTCTGTTCTGCCAATTGTTGATTAACTAAAATATTTGATAGCTCATCGGAAGATGAAATTTTTTCAATTACACGATATTCATCCTCATCATCATTATTATCTTCATCATCATGTTGTTCACGGCGTCCGGGCTGACCAAGGTATTTCATCGCAATTCTTATTGTGTGAGTCACTTCCGGACTGGGACTGCGTGAAGATTTATTGACCTCCGTTTTCTCCTGGATGTTGATTTTTAAATTCTCTGTGATTTCCGCACATATGCATTCTTCCATGACGTCACTTGACTTAGTACATCTTTTTGGCGGTCCTGTAAATCAACACATGTAATTCAGTATTAAAAAAAATTTTGTGATTTATCATCATGTATGCGATCAGATTTTAACCTTGACATGGTTGAGTTGCAAATATTTAATGAGATATTAAATATTGATCTCTGATAATAATTACTTGCAAATGAAATAATCGTAAATAAATCTCATTCGCGAATGAAGAAATAATATTTTGGAACATTTAATCACCGCCTTGGTTATTAAACACCAAAATTATTCTGCAGACATATAAAAAAATCTACGTCGGATTGTATCAGAATCGACGGAAATTTAGAAAGCATGAAATTATACAAAAAAATCAATGATTTGATTTTTAATAAGAAATATTCTGTCCATATCTAAATTAGTCGAATGACTCTAGAGAGTTTTAATATCGTGATTTTTGTGTACAAGTAATTAAAAATATTTGTAAAAATCTAAAAGTTTATGCTTCTTAAAATTAAAGCTTTAATTTTTTATAAAAAATAAATTATATTATTGATATTTTAACCGAAACATAAAAAAACATTTATTACCCTCTGTAACTGATATAAGAAAAATACAACATAAATACAACATTATAATAGAAAAAATAAAATATACTCATTTCAGGTACGCATATCTTATAAATATTCAAACAAACTGTATTTTAATTTTAATTTCTAATATTTCGCGAAAAAACTTTCTGATATAACCTCATATGGCTTGATATGAAAATTGAAAATTTCAGATCACGGAAAAAAATTAATAATTGCTACAATGGAACCTTATCCCGTGGGAGCAAAAGAACAAAATTCTGTTGCAGCAACAGGACTCACCCCGATGTTGATGCCATGCGGGAGTATAAAATATATGAAATTGAGAAAAAAATTCAAGTTTTAAAAACAACTTTTTTGTAAGTACAAAAATAATTCCAATTAAAAAAAAAATTTCTTGCAGCATTATACTTTTAGAACATAATTACGTCGCTTTCTGAAAAAACTTCTTTTATACGTACTTATGACTATTCAATGGTATCTTTTGCCGAGATACTTCCTTATGGCACGTGTAACGCAATATTCTATGTGAATTACGTTAGTTCTAACATTAACCGTATTTTTTCACAGGAAAATAAGCCATCAAATCAGATAATTATTTGATGCTTAATGATTCGAAAGTTTAAAAATTTTCATGTTATTATATTAAAAATTTTCAAACAAATATTGTGCATTGAATTGTAAATAACTAAATAATTCATACCTTCAGCGATAGTTTTTGTACTGGTCCGAAGGGAAGTAAGAGCTCTATTATATTTTTTTGTTTCGATAAATTGTTTCCTAGCACGTTCAATAGTTTTAGTGACATTTGCACCAGCACTACGGGTAGCTTTTTTTCTCCCTTTCCCAAGCTTAGTCATATTTTCAATAAATTCATCCAATATTTCATCTTTTTCAAAATTGACATCAGACGATTCAGTAGCACGAAATCGAGCACTTGCTTGAGAATCTATTAGAGGAATTGGTGAGTCTGGAAGTTCAAGTGATGTGATTGTCAAGTAAGCAGGTTTTTCTTTTTTCATGCGATCCAACCAATATCTGTAACTGTTATCGAATAGTTATTTATAAAATATTTTTTCCATAAAAACATCACATTCATTTTTCTTTCAACCAAAAAAAAATAAACAAATAATAATTACTGAGATAAATGGTCTATTAGTTTTTATTGTTTTCCAATAATTTCTTAGTTATTTCCGTTCTCTCATTCTTTTTCTTTTTTATGCTACCATTGCTGTTAATTGTGATGCACATAATAGAGTAGGTAATCGAATTTTCAAGAATTCAACAGAGTATTAGCTTACATGAACTGAAAGTAGTATTAAAACAATTTTTTTACTCGCTTGATAATGACAGACTTCAAAACAATATACACAAAACAAAAACTTGCAGTTACAAGATGACGGTGTTCTGTAAGTCTTATGTTAATTCTGTTGCTACACTAAAAACAGTCTTGTCGCTCTAATAGGATTATTATTGTTGTAAGTCTACGACTATTACTGTTGCAAATACAGACTTAGAATAATAGAGAAAAAGATTTAATTTTTTTAAACAAAAAGGTCTGAGATTTCAAAAAATTTATTTGTTCAAATCTCAGTAATTTTTTTAGTCTTTCATCGTAGCTATGAAACTTACAGTAAATTTGAGCATACGTGAAAACTAATGGTTGACTAAAATCGGGGATAATAACTATTACTATTACCATTCCAGAATTATACTCATCATTTTCTAAGACAGTAACCACTAACATAAAACATAACAATTATTATAATTACCGCTGACAATATTTACCATTACAAAATAGATAAAATTGTTTTTCAAAATCAAAAAAATTCAAATTAAAAAAAAAATTTGTTTGCTATGAAATTTTGAAAACTATTGTTTTTTTGCCAGTATAAAGTAATTCTATTTTGAAGAAAATCTTCTTGTCTGTATAAAAAAAATTCAAATGTTTATAAAATGAATTTATCTTGCTATATTACACTTTTAAAATATTATTGTGTCAATTCCCAAAAAAAAAAATTGCACATGCATATTCATTTTATGTAAAATTGAAAGCATTAACTTAGTAAATAATTAGAAGTTTTTAAACATAATCATGATATACATCGACGTTCTAATTAGTAAATTGTCTAACTCCATTTTAGAGAATCTTCTATTTGTACGAAAAAAACAATTAGTTCAAAATTCATTATCACTTTAAAAAACCATTTAATATCATTATTATCGATTAGAGATATAATATTTAGGTTTGAATCATTCAAATAATTTATAATTCGATTATGGCTACATCAAAATGTTAAAAAATCACCCTCTAAAAAATATGGAGTTAGAAAAATTACTAATTAGACCATCGACATGCAAGTAATTATAATATTTTCAATCCAATGTGGTAATGAATATCATCTATTAATGGTACAAGTTATCATCTTCATTTTTCTTTCGCGATGATAACTATTACTATCTTTTATTACATTAATTAATATCTGATTATAATCAACGAAATCATGATATTACTGCACAGAAAAAAAGGTTCACTTGAGCCAAGAAAATATTTTTCTTCCTAATTATTTTCTTGAGCGAAAAAAAAATTTCTTTTTGACACAAGAAGTTTCACTTATTCCAACAAAATTAATTCTCTTGCTTCAAGAAATACGTATCTTGATCCAAGAAACTTTATTTAAGTCAAGAAAATCTTCTTGTTTTAAGAAAATTCAGCCTCTTACTCCAAAAAATTTAGTTCTTGATAGAAGTAAATTTTCTTGTCTTGAGAAAATTTCTCTCTTGCTCCAAAATATTAAAAATCTCGATAGAAGTAAATTTTCATTAATATTTTTATTGATTAACATGTCAAATGGGAAGATCAAATAATATTGAATCATTTTTTTTCATTCAATATGTATAGTTGCACGCTAAAATAATATAAAATGGGTATCAAATATTCAAGAGAAAAATTTTCTCAAGGTGAGAAAATTTTTTTTCTCAGCTGAAGTAGGTGGTGCTGCTTCCCTAAAGTATCTAAAAATCTTGATCAAATATAAAAATTTATTGTATCAAGTATTTATAATAATTTGCATTAAGAAAAAATTACTTCTACCAAGAATAGAATTTCAAAAAAAATTTTCACTTCGGCCAACACAACTTTGGTCTTCCTTCAGGCACCCGAAAATTTTCTTGAGCCAAGAATTTTGTTTTTCAGTCAAGAAATTTTTCTTTCTGTGGGATGTTACTCTGATGTCAGTATTTTGCGGATTTTACCATTATTTTATAATAATCTTTAGATCATAACCATAAATTTCTCGCCGTGATACAACCTCTAAAACTTTCTGCAAAAATACACCTTAATTAAGCTTTTCAAGCTCTTGGTATTAATTTTTGCACTCTTTCGAGCTCACCGAACTTGAAAAGTGTTTCATACTTGTTGAACTAAAAAATTTAGTGATTATTGAAAGAATGGTCTTGTTTTAGAAATTTTTGTTGTCAATTGTGAACACGTCGTTTGATCATGAATCATGACCTATGCACTTTACGGCGTTACACACATTTTTTCAAGAATTTTCTTCTAAAATAATCTGAGAAGTCATTTAAAAGTGATTTTTCTTGTAGATTATACCATAGAATACAAAGAATAATAAAATAAATACCGTCAATACTTGTTTAAAAAAAAATTGAACGTTGGTATTGTATATGGAGTTAATAAGATTATTTTATGAGGTGTTGATTCAGGATTACATTGAAAATAAACATCGATAACGACGTACAAATTACAAGTAAAAATGTTAAATGGATATTTGATATAAATATATAAGAAATAATAAGAGCTCCGTGTTTCTGAAGAAACAAGAGCGATCTTCGCGTGTTTTGAAATCGCAATAAAGTTGGTAACATTGCACGTTTACTGGATGGGGTCAGCTTTGAAATATAATACCGGTTGGGGTTGGAGAGGAGTAGGACAGATACGGTAAACCACCTCAAGAGGAGCTAAGAAACATATATTTATAAATATATATGTATATAAAAAAGGATAAGAAAAAAAAGTGTAGTGGGTTCAAAAGATCGAACGTCCAAGATAATAATCCGCAGTGCACGAGTTTACCGTATATACATAAGCTCGTATTTTTATTCTGGGCTTTAATAAACGCGATAATATTTACTGCCTGAGTAGTTGATCAGCTCTCGGTCTTTATTAAGTCGTGCTATAACCATATGTTCTGTTCATCGTTTAAGCTTTCATACCTTTAATTGCTGGGTTGTGAGACGTGTACGATCATATGATGATATTTTTTCTTAAAACTACAATAAAGCATTTAACTGTAAGATAAATATATAAATATACTCCGCATTATTATCGTTTAGATACATGGCTATACAATTAATGTGTCATTATGTCTTTGGGTACAAAAAAAAAATCACTTTTATGATGCTAGTACTAGATTTAATTTAATTTATTGTTTATATTACCAAAATGATATTTTTCTACGTCGTATATATGATAATCGATAAATTTAAACATAATCATACATAAACATTCAGCTTTATAACTTATTTTTTATGATCAACAATTATACATGATATACGGCAAAAAAGTTATAGGAAAAAATACAATTGTCACATCGTAATCCAGGACCATACTTTAAATTTTTCATTTTCATAATTTTAAAATGTAAAATTATCTAAATGTGGAGATCTAATGAGAACTTGATTTTTAAGAATTGGGTCGAAATTAATAACTTCCCAATTTTCACAACGGGAAGTTGGAATAAATTGAAAAACAAAAGTTTTTGCAGTTAAGAAAATATTGCACAAAAACAGTTTTTTTGGATTAAAATATATTTTTTAAAGTTTTTCAAACTCAACAAATAGATATTTATGTCATAAGGCCGTGAAGTGGCGGTTTTCTGACAGCGACGATATTTCGATATGAGCTTAAGGTTTGTGGCTGGAAGGTCCAAAACGGGCGTAATTTTAACGTCCGAGGCGTAGCCGAGGACGGAAATTTACGCTCGTTTTCGAACATTCGCGTCACAAACATTAAAGCGAGTATCGAAAAAAAGTCGTTGTCAAAATCGCCACTAAACGGTCAAATGACATACAATATTTTTTGTTATTATTGCTCCATAAGTTTAACTTTTGAGGGATAGGAGGCAAATAATGACATATTTAAATTTTAAAAAGTTTTACAAGGCCAAAAAAAATTAATTTTATATTAATTATCTTTTTATTAATCTTAAAATCTTGCTCACGTCCAGAAAATGTAAATAACTTTTTATTAGTATTTATTTATGGCGTTGTTATTTTATTAACATTAGGTCCGCTTCGTAATAAACTGCCAGCAGAAAAATAATTAGCGCCACTAAATAGTAACTAAGACTAAAAATTATCGGTCGATACGCTAGAATGTGACTTTTTTTTTACAATCTCTCTCAATTTCGTCTGGGTGTACATGAAAAGTTCGTAAAAAAAGGAGGGAGTAAAACTTCACGGCCTAGGCCGTGAAAAAAAGACGGTATGGTAGAGTCTCTAGAAAAGAGTCCCTTTACGGACGCCACCCAGCGCTCAGAAGTTGAACTTCTGGAGCGAGTATAACAAAAATTTTATTTTAATACAACACCGTCTCAGTATAACCAGATAAGATTGAAATTTTGACCCGTCATATTTTATTACTAATAGCTCAGAGTTGATTGAATTATCATTTATTTATTTAAATAACGGGATTAAAAGTAAGCTTGATAATGTATATTTAAATCCTGACTCATCTTGGTCATTTGTTTTCAAGGCTGAGATTTGTTGTCAAGCTTTATAATTTGCTTCCAAGGATTAACCCTAGACACGATGGCCTAAAGACATTATTCAAGGCTTGGACCATGCGAAGTTAAGTCTAGCCGTTGATAATAATCAGAATAATTTCACATAAACTTTGAATGCAGCTTACTCGAAAAATTAAATTTTATCGCCCCTAATAATCATCTCTTCTTTAAATAAAATATGCCTGCTGATGATAAAATAGTTAAATTACCATGACGTTTTTTATTAATATCGG